GGGGGGGGGGGGAAGAGTGTGCCCTCCAGATCTGCAAATGGGGCAAAGGTGGGCTGCTGCTGCGGGCTTTACCCCACAGGCCAAACTTTGTTGCTATGGTACCATTAAGCACTCAAAAGAAGCTGGCCCAAATTAGTGGCATGAGTTTGGGCCCACATGCCTGGGTATATTCACGTCCCAAACGTTCTAGCACAGGGGTTGTCAACTGGGGGTATGTATACCCCCGTGGTACTTGAGCAAGCCCTAGGGGGTACACGTGGTTGAGGACAGAGTGCTGCCATGCACCATCCTGTCCGCCCAGGCGGATGCAGGGGGGCGGGCAGGGGAAGGTGGCACGTGGCAGCTGCTGCCGCTCCCTATTTGGCCAAAGGCCCCCCCACCCCACCTTGCTCGGCGTCTGGCTGCCTGGGGTACACTGACCCAAAAAGGCTGAAAACCCCTGCTCCAGCCCCATAATCCTCTACACCTGGATTTTAGCTTGTAATGTCTTAACCTATGCTTATACACAGCACTGGCCTCTTGTGAAGAGTTTGGGGCAGATTTGTCAAGGTAATGGTCTGTAACTCATGTTCGCGATTTAAAAGAATTCCCAGTCATGCAAACTATCCCATCAAGTCTCTGCGATTCCAGTCGCATCATAGGCCCATGACTGAGAACTTCCAATTCTTCCTGCTTGTTTCCTAGGTTCTGACTTGGCGGATAGACATCTAGAGTAACTAGCAGACTGTCCTACTTTCTCAGGAAGGCCTTCCCTGTTGCCCCCTTCTGCTTGTGCTTCCTTCAGATCACCCACTTCCCCACTTACCTCAAGAATATATTAATATTATATATTATAACATATATAATATTTTACATAATAAATATTTATTTTATTTCTATACATTGTACAAGTGATAAGTTATATTTATTTTATATTATGTATATTTTATATATAAATATATTTATCAATTCTGAAGACAGAGCAAATAACTGGAGTAGTTCCAATCTCTGGGAATAGTTGTAAGCATTAAGCATGTCTGAAATGGCAGCCACCAATCAACTTATCTACAATATAATGGCTCTTAAGTGGCATCTGCATATTTCCCAATAGCAACATAATCTTTATTTACAAGAGGCTATTATGAAAGGCTTTGGAGGGATCCACTAAAAGTGAGGCCCAACTAATGAAGACTGTAGAGGCCAACCTATTTCAGACATGTTACGAGATAAGCCCTGACCCTTCCCGAAGTGCGGCTCCAATACTCTTCTCCTGCATTTCATTTGTGGCACATGTGCCACACAGAGGCTGCCCATGTCACAGGTTCGTCAACCCTGTAGCAGCTTGCCTACAAATGCCAAACTCTAAGAAATAAAACCAGGACTGGGTTGTATTACCCAATTTATGTACCTATGCAGCACAAAAATCCATGGATGTTTCTAAGTTTCTGCTGGCAATTATAAAACACAATTGTGTTCTCTCAAATTGTCCTACTTCAGCCTCTTTGCTCCTTTACTCAGATCCATCCCCCAACAGCCGAAGACTATAAAGCAGGAGAAGTATTTTAACAATAGTAACAAATCAATTATTGTGCTGAATTTCTAGCTCTTCACAGCAGTTGGAAATTGCTGTACCCTACTTATTTGTGTAGAATAAACATTACCTTAAGGACTGTAACTACAGCACCAAGTGTTTTACAGTTACACTTGCTTGGGGCAACGTCCTTTGGTATGTGCTGAACATTACAAGGAAAAAGTAAGCTTGACTTGCCATGATGTGCACAGGGAAATATACCTGCCTTAACCATCTTTCACTAAACCAGCTTTTGAGAGGCCTGTAGCACACTGCTGCAGTGCAGACATTGAGGATTTTCAGAACTGACTGCAAGTTCAAAGTAAAATATACAACAGTAACTGTCAACAACTGGACTCTGACCTTGACTGCTTTTACCCATCTCAAATAAAACAGCCCCGAAGCAGCAAGGTAGTACAAACACACACTTTGAATTTTGCTGTTGATGCTTAGAGAGGCAACACTAAATATTCATCTTCAGTTAAAATTTTGTAAGTGCTTCTGCACCTAAAAAAAGTTATTGCAGCATCATATAGGGAATGATGGTAGACAGAGTAGATATCAAGGAAAATAACTGAAATAAGTAAGTTAGCAATATATCAGTTACTTAGTTATGTTGTAATACACAGACCACAGGTACTTCTTATTGAGGACTTGAATATTATAACCACTGTGGTTTTTTAAGCATCTTTTTTTTTTTCAAAGAAAAAAAAGGAGTGCAAGGTAAGAAGCTTGTCATTAATCTGAGCACCATGCATAACAACTTCTCTCTGGCTTCATATTGCTTCCATTTTTTTTAACAAGTTACACATGCAATCCACAGCAGCACCATTTCCCAATTATATACAGTCTCTCCTACTTCATGTATTATCCTTTATCCTTCTGTAACCTATTTTTTGATTTTTTGATTCCCTTCAGTAGTCATGCTTTTACATGTTGATTCTTTTTCTGACAAAAGTGATTGCATTGGTTACTTCAGTGGACATTTAGCATTAATAGAGGGGACGCTGCTCAAGTAAGTCACGTCCTGATGCACTGCTCTTTGAAAATACTGACCTCTTTCCTAAAATGCTCTATAAAAGACATAAGTTAGTTTATATACACTTCAACACAGAGTTGCTGCTTCCATGGAATAAGGTTCTATGGTCAGAGCAATAGACTCACAGTTCCTGCTGATCTAATAATTTCTTTGGCTTGGTTTATTATAAAGGCAGAAGTCAACCAGAAGTTCAGCCCTAGATTACCACATATAAGGAACTACTTGGAGCAAACTTTTCTTCTTCCATCTGAGGCGGCTCCCATCCAGCACAGGCAGATCTTAACACAGACACAGAGCAACTATCTACTACAGGAGTAGGTTGAACAAGGTTGGGAAAGATTTTTTTTTTTTTAATGACTTACACTTCTCTTCTGTAGAGATTGCTGAAGCATCCCGGAGGATGAAGAAAAAAAAATTAGGAGGCTAAATGCCAACAGTGACTAAAGCAAGGGCTCCCATACTGTAGGCTAAATTGAGGCCTGCCCCTTTGAAATGGCCCTCCAGGAACAAAACTTTGGGGATCCCCATCCTCAAATGTCATTGATCCGTTTCTAAATACGGCTTATCAAATCACTGATTCATTATGAAAGCCTTTATGAGCCAAGGTAGGGCATCCTGAACACCTAAGAATGACAGCTTCATTTGGTATCCAGCATGCAGTATGGAAATACAGGTTTGCTACATAAATTTTTAGTTGACGTCTAGAAGGCCACACTTTCCTCACATTGTAACTCAAGTACTGTATCAGCCTGGAAATTCCACTTTTTCCAAGCTTTTATCACCTGGCAATCTAGAATTGGGCTGAACAAGTATCACAGTAGTTAATCTCTTGACAAAAGGATGAACCGTTTGAGAATCTACAAATCCTACACTTCATTGCTTATATTTAGACACGGAAAAACTGTGTCCCGTCTCGCTGACCTTACAAACCAAGTTGACAGACAATGCAATTTGGACTATGAGATACCCTGAGGGAGATTCATCTTGGGAGTCTTACTTTTGTTTATTTTTATACAAAGTAGCTGACAATATTCTTATCTGAAATGGGTTAGGAGATTATATCCCCAGAGGTAAACATGTTGGGTTCAGGATTTAAAAAATAATTTGCATAGCTATCAGTAAAAATTCTGCTGATCTTCCAAGGGGTATTATAAAAATGATCAAAGTGGGGTTTTTTTTAACTGGGAAATATTAATACCCAGGATTAAATGTTTTAAGGATTAAAGTTTTTCAGAAAAATGCAGAAGAGAGTTGGGATAACTAAAGAGTCTATATTTGAAGTAGGATATTCTTTCTGAGGGTTAAACTGTCTCTTTACTCATGTACTTTATACAGCAGAATCCATAAGGGACAAGCTAGAATAAAAATAAAATGTGAAAGATGTAAAATGTCAAACTTCTGGAGTAACTCATTTTGTACAAAATATCAATCTAATGAGTAGACTAGAGAAAAAGGTATCATTTAAATGTTCTTACTCCCAAAAGGTAAATATATTTAATTCTGCCACAATTTTTATATACATAATTTTACAGCACAGGAAAACAACATTACTTGCCCTCTTTGCCATGAGTGGGAAACTATCATTCCCTTCAAAGCTTGTCCCTTTATTTCAGAGTAGTAAGTTTGCTATTGGAGGAAAGTTTTCACTTCCAAAGGAACTTAAGTCTGAAGTTATGGAAATACCAGATCTCTTAAGACAGCTCTCCCAGCTCCAAACCAGGGGACTGGGAAGTTGTTCAAGAATGGAAGAACACAAACAAACAACAGTAAAAGGCCCCCAACACACAGTTTTAAAGCATCACCGTTCCCTAAGAAAGCCGACAGCCCCTTTACTAATAAGAAGTCTTATAATTCTATTATCCTGATTAAGTGTTCAGTCTACCAAGTGAGCCACCATGCTAAATTATAAATGGCTAAAAAGAGCCACTTCACATCTAAGAGTAAAAGAAGCTTTGTTTTACTCCCAGAGCTGGTCAGAATGGCTCTCCATCTTTTAGCTAGCTCCAAGATGGCCAGCCTCTGCTTCAACAGCCTGCAGTCTTTACCTGCAGAGTGAGCTCTGGCCACATCTACACGAGACACTGAATGTGCAGTTGTTACTGCGCAGTCATTTAGTGCTTGTATAAAACAAGCATAAATCAGTACTAAATGACTGCACAGGAACCCAAGTTACTGCGCAGTAGTGCCGACGAATGTCTTTGTGACACTATTACGCAGTAGCCTAATACTATATGCAGTAGCACTGCGTCAGGGTTGTCGCCACATGATGCTACTGCACAATCAGTGTCTCACGTAGACACGGCCTCTGAGAAGTTACATCAAATCTCCCTTCATTACCACCATAGTAAACTGCAAATGACTCCCATAAAGGAAGTGGAATTACACCTGCATGAAATTAGAGGGTAGCTGGACATAGTATTTGCACGCTGCTGTGGAATTATCACTTAGAATCAGTCAAATGGATCTGAGGAGAGAAACTGACCTTCATTTGCTGCTTTCAGAGAAGAGGTTAGTATTGGGGTGACTAATAATTTAGTGAAAGCTTCTTCCAAAGACATGCAAACCCATGCAATTTGTTGAACTGGCTACTAAACCCTCTAAGGCCAACTTATTTTTGTAGAGATTAGTATGAAATTTATCAAAAATCTGCCATTTTCTGCAGCTTCAATTTCTCTGGCAGCAGTGTTTGACTTTGCCATTTAGAGAACGCGAATAAAAACTTCTCAGCACAACAACATACATACTTCTCAAAGGGGAAGTATTTCAACTAAAAATCTTTGCGTGTACTTACTGAGATTGTACCATTGTCTAGACCTATGGACAGCCTTCTGGTTTCCGGGTTAAAAGACATGCATGAACATGGAGCTGAAAAAAATGAACATGTTGATGACGTTAACAAAACCATGATTCTCACTGAAGTTCTGGAGAGCCTAGCTAACTAATATACTTATGAAGCTATATTTTCTACTTTACCCCTTGACAGAGAAGATCAAAATTAGGTTTCCTGTAGTAACAGGATTGGATGCACAGCTCATCAGGAAATAAATCAATACCTCAACAGCTCTTCCTTATGTAATGATCTTGCTTCTTTCTTAAAAAAACAAATTAAGCAGGGAACTTATATAAAAGAGCAGTTTTGGTGTCAGACCCCTCTAATACTGAAAAGACATTTCAATTTTAATGCCTTTGTAGATTTAAAGAAAATGACCAATGCCATTTTTTCCATTCTTTTGGATTTTCACTTGCAATAAACCATAATACATTATTATTTCCAAGGTATGCATCCCATCTACAGATCTCCTGAAGAAGGAAACAACTCACTCATACTGAGTAGCAACACTAAGAGAGATTGCCATAGCAGTAATTCCATTATGGGCAATAATTTTCATTAGAATTACAAAGCATAACTCATGACCAGAAGCAGTTATCATCAAGATAATATTCTGCCCAGTATCTAGGACCCATTACTTCAGCGATGGCACTATAAAACTTCTCAACACACACTCTTAAATTTCCTTATAAAAATACGAACCTTACGCTACTATGATAATTCGGCAATGTTAAACACATTTATGTATATGCAATTTTCTGTTAAGAATCAGAGTAATGCTTGGACTCTATTTCAGCTTTCTAAATCAGTCTAGGTTTGCAGCGACAGTTTTTACATCTCACTACTGTAGCACAAAGCTTCTTGTTCTCAGTCAAGTTCTTACAGAAGAGATGCAAGATGTGGTAATTGGCAAATAGCAGCAGGAGGGGCGAGGAATTATTGCTTCTTTTGGATTTCACTATCAAATTATTGCTTCTTTCGGATTTCACTATCAATGCTTGAAATTAAGTATGAAAATCTGGATGTGAACAACATTCTTAGTTCCACTTTTTCACAGTTTCTATTTCTTGTAGCCTTCCCCACTACTAGCTAGGTATTAGCACTTGCTTTTGCAACACTGCATGGCCTGAATGAATATCTTCAACTTGTCTTCTCCAATATGACTTTATATCTAAATTTGAAACTCTTATCCTAACATTTGGAAACCCAATGGATGCTCCATGCACATTAGTTAGCAGCATGGCCAGAATAAGAAAGGACAGCAGGCTAGGGAAAACCAAAGTTTGTGGCAGACTTAACCCACCACATGGAACTTAGTTTTGTTTGTAATGTAATTGATAGGAATTACAAATGTCTGTAATGTAATTCTCAGACATGGGCAATCAAGTGACTACATACCTAGTCTTCCCATTTCCCCCCAAATGCTGAATTTGACAACAAAAAAGAAAAAGCCTGATGTTAAAAAACCCCTCAAAACAAAAATACCTTGTCACCGTTAATGACGCTGTTATTTGACGTTATTAAAAGGGAAAGTGTGAAGAACACGGTTTCCTTTTCAGGTTTCTCATTTAAACCCAGTGAATTTAACCAATTTGGTTCAAGTTTTTACTGAGAAGAAAGTGAAATTTCTGGGGCTCTCTTTTATGACTGGGCTTTTAAAACTACAGGGGAGAGCTTAAGTTTTTTAAAAGGAATAAATGATTCTCATTTTAAAAAGCTTCATGAAAACATTACTACTCAGAAAATGTTACATTAAAAAATTCTATTTTACAAATAAAAAAATCAGATAAGAACAGCCTACATTCCAGGTGTAAAGTCTATCTTTGTTCTAAAATGTACTATCTACATCATTCATCTAAAACGTACCAAGTACCACCCATCTGATGAAAGAATCCTCACTACCAGAAACAATACTTTTAACAGGTTGAAATCTCAGCTTTTCAGAATCACTGCTAGTGAGATGATGCAACACAAATTAACTTGAAGTCTTCCAGGAAGAGACTAAGGGTGAGATTATGTTACAATTAAACCAGGTTAAGAACCCTTGCTTTAAACCAGGTTAAGAACCCCTCCCCCCGCCCTTTTTTTTTTTTAAACAGCTCTCCTCTTGAGTTTCTCAATTCAAGTTGGTCTAAATAGAATGATCCAGCAATCTCTTCCCTCACTAAAACTTTATCTCCTATATAAAATGGAGATGGTGCATAAGTTCCTTTACTTACAAACATGGTACAAATGACCCACCATTGACGTACAATTTTTCACTTTTGTCAGCTGATTACATAAGAATGAAAAAGGCTATATTCCACGGCACCTGTCCTCTGTTAAACGTAGATCAACACAATGAGCATAGCGCCAAGAATTCATGGAAGTCTCCCGAGGTGGGACATGGGCAATTCTGGTTTTGTATAAAAGCATGATAACTTGTATACCCAAAACATATTCTGATTTATGGTGCGTTTCACACTTCCCTAGTTTCAAATTGTGCAAAATATGAAACTAATAATAGCTAGTCAGAGTATGTTGCTTCCTCAAAAAATATTAGAAACTCCACCCTTCATCATTACAGAAAGCATTCTAATCTGTTTGGCACTTAAGGATTCTGGTGGCTGTTTTTTTGTTCCATAGACATTAGGGGCTAGAAGAGACCTCATGAGATCATTGGGTCCAGCCCCCCCACCATGGGTGG